AAATAATAAAATACTACACTGTTTAGCGGAAACCCGTTCAATTTAGGACATAACATATTTATAAAGTAAAACTCGAAAGTTGTTATATTTTGAGATCTGAATTGTGATATGTTCATTGAGAAAAAATTGGAAATTGGATGTGCCATGCGTTACAAGCAAGCCAGAGGGTTTTGATCAACCAAGACGAATCTGGACAACACTCAATAGAATAAGGACGAATTGCGAAGATGCTTCGACTCACTATTCAGGTGGGGAAAAATACCTTCCCCAAATTGTTACTGTGGCGCTGAAAGACAGACTATCGAACACCTGGTACAGGACTCTCCAGTTAATTCCTACAGTGACAACCCATCCGATTTCCTTATTGCGACAAGAGAGTCAATAGAATATATTCGTAACCTCAGTGTTTGTGAAATGTCAAGAAATGTGACATGAAAATGTTACTTTTGTTACATTCGGAAGTCCCTGTTGAAAGACCCTATAATTGAATATGGATTCATTCAATTATGACCGATAGTAAAACAATTAGCCGTAATTCCTAGATGACTCTGCTAATTAACATGCCTTCACAGATCACGAGTTTAGTGGCCATAGTTGTCGATGTCATTCTCAACAAAGAAAAAGTAGGACCAGTTCAAAAACAGCAACATGAATAACAACTGTCAATACTAACACTATTTCGAAATGTTGTGGATCATCATCACTTTCTCATTTCATCGACCAAAAACTCGATAAAGGAAAATTAAGTGAAAGATCAAGTAGGCGGCTTGCAGTAGTTTCAAACCGAATTATTCTCGGCGTTTCGATTTTCGTTTGTTTGTATTCACAATCATCTTGGCGTGATGAGCGTTTTATTATGTTATAGTTTTATTCACCATAATTGCTAAAATGTGATTCGTTAATGAAGTCAGAGCTCAACGGAAAACCTTGTTTTTCACAATCAGAATATCGATTTATATGATGTTGTTATCTTTGAAGTTTCGTCATATTTACAGACATTTTATAGCTATAACGTGTGCGAATTTCAAAATACCATTTTTATCGGTAAATGGATTAAGTTGCTGTAATGGCTATAAAATGAATCATTTTTTATCGGAAAACGCCAAAGTGTTTTATCAGAAGAGAGAGATCTAAACATAATTAAGAGAGATATTTGGGTTTGGCAGTGTTGTGTTGCATATTGGCAATACTTGATTGAATTAATATATTATGTTGAATAATTGCTTTCACGCAGCGCAGAATAATCAGGAAAATTGTTTTTATATTTTTTTCGTAAACTAAGTTGCCGTTATTGATATTTAAAAACACACACATATAGTAACGCAATATTTTGTTTATTCGCGAAATCGGTCTATAGGCTAGCTAAATGTATGTACAACTACAGTTCGTGAAAATATCACAATATAAACAAGGCTCCCAAAGGCGGTCTGTTACAAAGTCTAACTTCGACATCTACCACCAACTTAGATTCGTCTTCTTACTTTCTCTGCAGCTTTCACCAAACAGGCAGCCGGCAACGAGAGTTCGGAAACCTAATAATGATTTTAAAATATATTATTGTCCATTTATATGTTTGAGGAAAGTTCTGTAGTTTATATTTTGTTAAAAATTTCTTCTTATTAATGTATAGGATACCCTATTTTGATATATTTTATTATACCTGTATCTGTCTATATACATAACTGATTCTTATGTGCACGTTTAATTTTCTTTAATGATTGTTTGTACATGTTACCTCTTGCTAAGTAGGTGATTGCGGTTTTGTAAGAGTCTATAGAAGTGTGTATTTGCCAGAATTTCACAAAGTTCATCGAATCAGTTCCGAATTGTTAACATGATAAATGAACAAAATCATTTTACATCCTTTCGAATCCATAACCAAGCAAGGTGTACTCCGGGGCTCAATCCTTGGACCAACACCAAACAACTAACCAAAGCTCTGAGTCTGGGTATTGTAAGTACCACACTCGGTAGCCATGGAGATCCTTCTAGAACTACCTCCTCTCCACATTTTTCTGGAGAGAGAGGCTAGATGGGCAGCATATAGACTTGTGCACATCTCCAATTGCACAAAGCAAGTACTTTAGACTGCTGGCTGACACTGGAAGTGACGTCATTTTGAGAATGGCCTCTAACATTATGCCTCCAACTGTCAACTACGAACTGCCTTACGCAGTACTTTTCCTGAGTAGAAAGGAATGGATCCTCCGAGAGAGCTGATAGTTGATGATTCAACGATGGATCAAAAACACCTTCGGGCTCTGGTGCAGGTGTTTTCAGTTGCAGACCCAGGATAGATATATCAACCTGTCTAGGGACATATGCGACTGACAGATTGGTAGAATCCAACCTAACACACAAGTCAATAACAATTTTTTCGGACAGTCAGTCGGCGTTGAAGCTTTTGGCTCCTACCGAGCAACGTCTAAGTTGGTAGCAAATTGCCGAAAACAACTCTTCTCAATAAAAATACTCAACAAATTGCCTCTGGTCTGAATTCCTGGCCACACTGGCCTGGAAGGCAATGAGGCTGATGACTCCCTTGCAAAAGAGGGTGCTGCAAGTAGCTTCATCTGGCCAGAACCTGTCATTGGCATTGCTTTAAGTTTTGCCAAACAAACATGGATCACCTGTATGGCAAGAAGTTTGAAAGACTTCTGTCAAAATCTTCCAGGATTGACTCACTCCAAGGCGTTTATTCACCCTTCGAAGCTTAATACCAAACAGTTGTTGGACTACAGTAGGGATGAACTACGATGTCTAACAGGCCTTCTTACAGGTCACTGTCATTTGAATCACCATATGCAGAGGCTCGGGCTGTCGAAAGACAGTGTGTGTCGCCTCTGATTGGAAAATGATGAAACAGCAGAGCACATACTTTGTGCCTGCCCCGCTGCGGACCTAATCAGGTTTTCAGAGTTTGGTAGAACAACTCTTCTACTATCTGTCCTGAAAGATCACTCACCATATAAACTAATCGACTTCGTCAAGAAGCAGGGTTTATTTGGTCGAGTTTGAATATGTGTGAATCACATATGGAGGGACGGTGGAGGGACGAATAGGCCCACTCACTTTTGACCTGACCTAACCTAGTGTAGGTGTTGTATATTAGTGTTTAGATGACATATAAGTCATTATCACAGGAAGTACTACATTAGAACTTTCAACCGAAGCAGATAGTCACAGGGGAATACGCTGAATCTCAATGTCACCAAACAGAATTTGTAATTTTAAATGAATTGAATAACTATGAGGAATCCCTAGATGTGAAACTCTAAAATAAGTCTATTGCAGAATCTGATCAAACAAATTTTTAGAAGTCACAATAGATGTAACTCTCAGTTGGAAAACTTACATAAACTAACCGAATAACAACTGGCTGAGCTCTATCTGTGGAGTTGTACGTTATCTGAGAACATTACTATGCCCATGCGCAGTCATTGGTTTCATATGGTACCACATTTTGGGTTTTCCAGTATAGTCGCAAAGCATATTCATTACCCATTAAAGTATTTTGAGATATATTCTAAATCTTGGTCGCAAAACCTCTTGTAAAACGTTCTTAGCGAAACTTTCTTCCTAGCTGAACTTCCTCAGTCTTGCCTGTTTTGTAACTGTAACCTGTTTTCTTGAAATAGTAGTCAATATTCCAGTAATATGAATTTTAATACCAGGCATCGTAATTAACTGACTATCCCCAGCCAAAACTCTACATATTACAAGAAATGAAAGCATATAGTTATCTACCGAAGAAACTTCAAAATATCACAGCTTTAAAAAAATTTAGGAGCTCAGTCATTTCTTACTTGAAACATAAACGTGACAATTCGTTTAACTGCTTGCTAAGACGAAAGATGAAATATAAGGTTGTTTCAAAAGCTTTGTCCGTATTTATGAGTCCACTTTAAACTGTAATATCTCAGTAAATACTTATTCAAATTTGTCGAAATAAGCGCCATTTGAATTCGATGAAGAAGTCGACGAAGGCCGTTTTTGCTTGATCCTAAGTGGCGAAGGTTCTACCGGCGAGACAGTTATCGAAGTGCTTGAAAAGACGGTAGTAGGTTGGCGAGAGGTCTGGGAAGTATGGTGGGTGAATCATAACTTTTATGCTCAATTCATTAAATTTTTGAATAGTAATTTGGGAAACGTGCCACTGCACCAGCTGCTGACCACCATACAGTAACCATGGTCTTCTATTGGTGAGTTTTCTCCGTTGGGAAGTGCCTGGGTGGCTAATCAGTGTTCAACCACTGTCCTGAACGTTTTCCGTTGCGAAGTGGATATGCTTTTCATCTCACTTGACGATCCGATCCAAAAAAGGATCGTTTTGGTTGCATAAAAACAAAGAACAACAGACCTCACAATGTGACAATTTCTGTCGATCGTTCAAATCATGGGACACCCACTTTTCAAGCTTTCCAATAAATTTTAAACTATCAAATTAAGCATGGGATCTAACGCCCAGTTCTTCCGCCATCCCATGCACCGTTTGTGATGGGTCAGTCTCCGCCAGTGTCCTCAAATATTCGTCCTAGATTACTTATTTGAGTTGTTACCTTATATCACAATAGTCACGACATGATAAGGCACGCGGAAGTGGCAAAATATCTTCGACGCTTGTATGAAATTCAATGCGCCGAACATGACCAATCATAGCGCGGGAACTCCCGAATGCAGTTTCGGTTTCGGTCGTAGTTTCGGCAGGTTTGGCGCCGAAACAGAAACTAAACCGAAATCTGTTTTTTTGCCGAAACTCGACCGAAACCGAACATTCGGTCGGACACTAGTTTTAATATAATAAAAATTGTGTAAATGGTGTTTTATGATGAATATTTTTAAAATTCTTTTGAACATTTAATTTTTAACTGTAACTGTGTTGATGTAACATTAGTATATTTCAATTTGAAACTTTTCTAATTAATAATGTAATTAGTAATGTAATTGTAGTATTGTATAAAAAATATTCTTTTCTAACCGTTGTTTTTCTTTATTTTCAGAGTGATTCGGTTGAATATTTCCTCAACAACCTGGAAAGGATATCCAAACCAGACTACATGCCAACAAACAAAGATATTCTCCACTGCCGCAAGGCGACCAAGGGAATCACGGAGTTCGTAATACCCATAAATAATATTCCGTTCCTGTTCGTAGACGTTGGCGGGCAAAGATCTCAGAGGCAGAAGTGGTTCCAGTGTTTCGATTCGGTCACCTCGATATTATTTTTAGTATCTTCCTCAGAGTTCGACCAAGTTCTTCTAGAAGATCGTAAAACGAATAGATTAGAAGAATCTAGAGATATTTTTGATACCATCGTGAACAACATTATATTTTCCGGGGTGTCTATAATACTCTTTCTGAACAAGTACGACTTGTTGGAGAAAAAAGTGGCGAATCCAGAAACTGATATTCGCTGGTACTTTCCGCAGTTCGCTGGGAATTCTCACTCGATGCAGGATGTACAGGCATTTATTCTGGCGATGTTCACTGACGTTAAGAGAGACAGTAAAAAAGCATTGTACCACCACTTTACTACGGCTGTGGACACGGAAAACATTAAAGTAGTATTCAACTCGGTTAAAGACACAATTCTTCATCGCAACTTAGAAATTCTGATGCTACAGTGATTAATTTGTGCGTTAGCAAAGTGTTTCAAAAGTGTTCTGATGTTCCATTGGCTGTGTTAAACACAAAATATATTTAATTTAAGACTGACTAAATTTTAAATTAGTCTTAATTGATTTTAACGGTTTTTGGTTGTAGAGGAATTTTTGAAATGTTTACCTACCAAAAGAAGTACAATGTTTATCTAACCGATAAGCTGGAATTGGAGTAGTATCCCATTACTAAACTTTATAAAAAGAAAAAACTCACATGATTCGTGTTGAGATTTGAACCGTTTTCAAAGTGACAAAAAAAAGGCTCCAAATTTCGTTATATGATGCTAGAGTCATGCAAATATCGAAATATAGATGTATTTCTTATTGCATTTTTGGAACTCTTTTCATCGCCACGTTTCATTTAAGGTATTCAGTTTCAGACTCCAGTTATAAAACTATTTGCACCCAAATGAATAGTCACATATTAAAAATGTTAAGTAGGGAGGGGGTATATAGAGGGACAGTTCTTTCTCAAAGGAATAGATTCGTACAGGAATATTTCTGCATGATGCATTGCAATGCAATGCATGATGCATTGTTGGTACATATAGGGACATAGGTTTACATATTGGGACAACAAAATATTTGCACAATAAATAATCTTGAACATAAGTTTATTCCAAAAATAGTAACATTTCTCCTTATGAATCATTGAACATTATATAGAGAAAAGTTGAATGGAAACTGCAGTTGTTTGAAAGCTTTTTTCTGTGCCTCCAAATATTCTTGGCATGGGTAACTTGCACAGAACATTCTCTCTGCGTATGACATTCTCATTTTTTGTCTGGAATGATGAAAGTTGGGGGTCTTTTTCATGATATTTGTCATCATATGATACATCAATTTGACCAGCATAATGTTTGATACTTTTTTCAACACATATTGAACCAAGACAAAATCGGATACTTCAATTTGTATGTCACTAACTATTTTCTTCTCTTTCTACTTTTCACTATTCATACATCAGTAGAATCATCTGATATTACACCTTGGTCTGGTTCACCATCTTTACCATCACTAGATATTTCCTTAACTACAACTTTTTTCTCGCAGCTCAATTTTTTTCTCTTTCATTCATGTTACAAATAACTTTCTCAACTTCTTTCTCCATATTTTTTTGATACGAGGCGTGACGCTCCTTGTTCTTTCTAATGTTTTTTTTTTTCGTCTTTTCTGCTTTCCCTCAGCATCTGAAATAAGGTAACAGATGTCAAGAAGAATGGACACAAAACAAGAGCTCACAAAAATGGTGTGACTGTCCCAGTAAGAACCACCTGAATTTGTCCCTTCATCCTTATTGAAAATAATCCGAATGGCAAAATTTATTCGTGCATACCTTTCAAACTATGGAAACAACAACAAATTTCAAAAACGTTTCACAGAAATTGGAGGAGTAATAATAATAATAAATCTTGAAGACATCGAAAAAAGATCAGCATTAGGTTGAGCGTTGGAACATTTGGTTAACAAGTTTTCACTGTTGATAATGGAAATTGCTGTAGATTAGTGGAAATCTATTCAGTAGTGATCACTTTCGACCTAAACAAACTTTATCTAGTTGGTAAAACATTGCAAATCATTTATTTGTCCCACTGTGTACCATGTCCCACTATGTACTATGTCCCACTGTACACTACCTTTTCCTACATGTATTTTAGTTTCATGGTTTTCTTTGATTTATTACTCCACAATTTTTTTCTCATTTCTGTCACTGTCAGGCTACATCATATTTTGAATATGATAAGCTGCAAAAAGGATTCTACAAAATTAATATTTCATTGTTTGATTGACAGTATTTCCTTCTCATCTCAAGTAAAGGTACTGTATAGAAATGTGTTTTTGGCATGTATGTCGCGTGTTGGTGGATTTGTTTTTCTTCAGTAAATATTTTTAAATTGGATTCCTGTGATGTACTTGTTTCAAAAACAACAATTTTTCTGAGTCAATATTTTTGTTTAATTCATTGATTATTTCATTATGTTGTCTCTACTATGCTTTTTAATGGTGTGGGATTCTGCACTCATACTCTGGAAGACTGATCTCAACTTGCATTTGTAATTTGGCAGGTATACCAACTTGCCTATACGTTTTCTATCCACTTACTTGCAGGATATAGTTGTTCCAAAACCTTCATGGAACTTTTGAGAATTACAAAAAAATAACTACTGTCTTTCATTAAATTCTTGGGGACAACGAAAATATCTTACATTCACTACTTTCACTCGAATGGAGATGTTTTTGTATTCTGGTTGTTGATTGCTCTGACTTGAGATTTTTTTTTCAAATGACCTGGTCTTATTAAATTCGTCATCACATCCTAATATTGATGAAATTATTTACTGAAAAAATGCGGGAAGAGGCTTTGCTCAAGGTATATCTTAGACTCTAGCATCAAACTACATAACATTGCAGATTTTGATTGTTTTTGTGAATAATTGGTATTGCATTGTTTTGAAACTTTTATACTTTTATATATTGAGTGATATTTATGTTTAGAGTTACAATATTTACATGAACACTCAAAATACAGGTTATACATATTTTAAAATTTTAGTCTGCAAGTGAATTTATTATTTTGGAGTTACAAAAAATATATATACGGACACTTTGATGTTTAGTATATATTTATTCAATGAACATATGATTGTACTGGGATGCTACCTACATCTTCACGATTCTTCATATACCGTGCCAAGTGAGGTCTTCCCCTTTGTGTTATTGAAATTGATAACGTTTTTCATTTGCATGCTATTTTATGAATAGCTGATTTTATGAAACGAAAAATTTCCATATTCTATTTGTATGGTTTTTGTGTGGCGAAGACATTTGAAAACAGTTTAGTGTGTTAGAACATATCAAGAAAACCAAAAATAACTTCACAAAATATAACTTGTTATTGACCAAAGATAATTCTCAGAGTTTGAGATATTGTGTGAAACATTCTGAAGTTTCTCTGATATTTAAGTAATTTTATATTACCCATGTATCTACTGAAATAATGTATATTATATAACGGCTAAGTTTTTATATATTTCACCAACAGATATTCTTTGCATTATCCAACTGCCAATGTGCCTCGAAGATGTAATTTTATTTTAGATGTACTTGATCATGGATGTGATACAGTTTTTCCATCATGTAAAAGTATGCTTCTGCCGAAACAATTTTTCTTATATTTTCTTTACAGAAGAAACAAAAAGTGTGAGCGACTAGTACTGTATATATTTGTAAATAACTTGAGAAATTTTATTTTCATACAAATATAGTATTCATCAAAGAGTGTAAACCGTGTCAAAGATATTTTGTGGGTTTTTCAGCTGTGATCTGCGAAGTTTTGTCTGACGTTTCGCCTAAAGCTACGGTATAAATTATCGAAGGCGATGAAGCACCCTAGGAAGTGTATTTTCTGCTCTGCAGACAGCACAGTGGCAACTCGAGCACATCGCTTTTGATATTGTATACCGCAGTCGTAGACGAAACGTCAGTCATGATAACCTGCAAACAACAGCTAACAAGTTCAAAAAAATAGATTTGACACATAGTATTGAAAAAGGCCTTCCATTCAAGAGAAAATGGGGCAGCTTGTACGATTGTGTGTTTATATGTTCATAGTAGAAAAACAAATTTGATTGTGAAAAGTTTCATCTGATTTATCACGAAGTTTTCCAAAGTCTTTAACTTGGTGGGATGATTCATTTCAAAATGTGAAATGATTTGTTGCAACTGGGTTCATTCACTCGTTATTTATAAGTTCCATAAAATATGTTGTGTACTCAGGTTAATATATCATATTGCATAACTTTTGGGAAACTTCCAATACATTACTTGTGAAAAGCAGTAAAATATTTACAGGAAATACTATCCAGCGTGCCTTTTACCATGGAATCTGAAGATGTATTAATTTTGTAGATAAGCTTACATAGCTTTTTAATGATTTGTACAGAAACATTTTATTTCTATAAAATATTTTTCTATTTGTTAATAAAAACTATTATATGAATGAGGTTTTTTTGTTACACAAATTTTATTGTCTCGGAGTTATGGAGCAAGTAAATATTAGGATTAGATAACAGATTGGTGAGACATGGACTTGCAAAATCTTATTTATACAGTTTAGGAAAGAGACATTTTTGTAACTGCCTCAAATACCTGAAAAAAAATATTAGCTAACTATTTTAACAAAATAAAATGAAATATCTGAAATTCAAATGAAAACAGATGCTGTTTGGAACTTTTCTCGATAGATTGTAATTATCGAAATTTGCTTCCTAACCTCCACTTTTTTTTATGAAATTTTTCTCTAAATTTTAACACAATCATGAAATACAAATAATTATGAAAAAGGAATGAAGAGGGAAAAAAAGCACCCCAAAGGTACTGCTTTGTTCCCTCCTATTCATAAAATAGGACATGGCTCATCACTCACAAGCGATTTTGTTGAAATCGGGGACATGTTTGAATCGTTGTATTCATTCCACGTGCCACTATATGGGTGTATGCAATATGCTGTGTAATGCCCGTTGTAAGTAGTCTTACTGTGATTCGAAAGTGCATATAGATTATAACGACAAGGAGCCATATTGTCTGCTGCATAACTGCTCATATTTAATCCTTCTAAAGAGAAGTCAATGGCAACATTCAATTTGTCTCTGAATCTTTCCGTTGGAGAAAATCTTTTCAAATGAATTACTAAAATATGGGGAAACTTATAGATTGATAGGGACTTTGTACATTTTCTTCTTTCCTTGCACCTCGAACACAATGGTTTTTTGTCTCCATCCAGAGTTTCCTCTCTTGTGAAGGAATCCAAGCAATGTGACAAACTCAACTGGCCAGTTCTTTGTGGTATGGGGAGAGACAAATCCCAGAAAGGATCGAAGGTTACTGATGAGTGTCTAAAGTGTGTGCACTTGATAGTGGATTTTAATTGACCAACGAAATTGTCTACAATCTTAGGGTTGTTCATATTCAAATATCTCAGCCAGGACTCTTGTGCTTTTCCACTGTCGCTCAATTTTTCGTCAATCTCCGTTAGGATCGGTTCAGGTTTCTCAGAAATTCTGTTGAGGTCCTTATGTAAACCTTCTAAAAGATATCGAAGGAATTCGTGGGCGTCCTGATGGGAAGAACCTATGAATCGAGGGACAGATCTATATGCACCACATTTAGATTATCAATCCACTATTGCCAGATATGGATTATTTCATAAGAATTAGTGAAACTATTGACAACATTTTTAAGAAACCTTCTATTGCATAAATGATGGTGAGGTATATTTTGCTAGAATCAACACTGAGAACACCTAAGTTTTTACTCATTGTAAATGACAGTGATCGCTATGAATTCGTAAGGACCAACATGAAAATTAATGTAGGTACGTAAGTACTGATGCAATAATGATTGAAAAAAAGTGAAGTATTTATGAGTCACAGCAGACAACAAGTTATCTTTTGAAAATCATGCCAACTATATAATCAAATGTACTTGTAATGCAGTGTCAGTTTATTAATCTTCCTCTTGAAGATGATTACTTGGTGATTGAAACACGTGTCGAGGTGTTAAAAATGAAGGTTTGGTGTTGGCATAGAGCTACAGTTATATATAATCCAAATAATTTGAAATTGAACTATATGGAATTTCAAAGCAAGAGGACAAATGACATTTTGAGCACTTTATAATACTCTGATACTTCCCATTTCCACTGATATGGGAATTCCTTTCTAATTGATTGCTTCAATCTCCTTGAAAAGTGGATTGAAATTCATAATTCAATCATAACCTTGAAGAAATGTTCATTTTCAATTCTGTTTTCAGTAGGCTGATTATAGTTTTTTGAACTTTTTCTTGTGCATACATTAACATAGGTTTCCTCAATAAGACTAAAATGACCTTTTTCAATGTCTTATAGAGTAAATTTGTTTTCTATCCCGTGGTATATTTTAATGTTATAGGTACTATTATTCACATTTACGAATCAAGACTTTTCTTCTCTTTCATTTGTCATCCCACTGAATACCATAACAAACGCAGTTTTTGGATATAACATACCTCTTGACTGTTCATGAAAAATGTTAATTAAAGTAAATGAATCATATAATAATGAATCGATTGTTGCCTCGCTCATCAAAATTGGCTCAGTAGTCTAAGCGTTATGGCACAGTATAGCGTAACTATAAATACAAATAAAGCCGTATATGTGATCACAATAAATCACACTCCTTTTTGGCTTGGCCGTAGTCGGGTAAGAAGCTGGGGCCGGTCCTGTTACAATTTATACTTAACCAATGACAATCAAATTATGTTTCGTATGGACCAATAAACAAATCCACCGCTGAATGTACATTTGTACATTTAGACACAACTCAATGAACTTGCTCTCCTTTTTTCTGACAAACCTGTCAATCTACGGGATCCTTCAAATTAATTGTTTCTATTAATGGAATGAAGAATACTTTGCAAACGAAAAATGTTTACAGAAATCACGAATATTGCAAAAGAGACATTAGAAAATCTTAGTAGCATCGATTATTTTGATGTACAAACACCAGAAGATCTCTACAAGTTATTTTTCTTCTGTCATATTTTCTCCTGGGTCGTTGTTTTGTGGAAACTGAAAAATTGAAATTTGATGAAAAATGTAATTGAACACTCATATATGAATTGTAATATGTAAAATATCATTAAAAGATGGTTTTTGAAAAAAGTAGTTTAAATTTCAAATATCTACATTTGAATTTTCAAATTGACAATTGACACTGACTGACGCAGGCGTATGAAGTTTGCTTATACCGACAAACCGTTCAAACAATATTTATATTTTTGAATGTTCTGTTAGTTTATTTCGATAGTATCAAGTAAAACATGCGTCTTTTGATATGAGTGAACAATTTATTTCAGCTGCTCTTATAGAAAAGTTGGGTAAGTATTCATTTTTACATATGAACTAGCATAACTTCTACCAACAAACAGGACACAAAATACAGGAAATCAGAGAAAGGGCCCTTTTGAATATCATTTCAAAAATTGAAAATGGTGTTTTATTCGATAATGACTTGGCTAGAACCAGAGAACTCATTACCAAACTATTCAAATGGTTTCTGTTTGAACCATGCACCCAGGAAGATATGGTTTTCCTATTACTCAAGCGTGTCCTGAAGGCAGGTAAGCTATGCCAAGTGAAGGAATCATCCATTCATTCATACATTTCAGTCAGACAGTGGAAAAACGCTTATCAATCACCTAGGAAAAAGTTATTTTATGAAAGAATTGGACCAGATTCGTTCATACCTAGAGCCAGAATACTACACTAAATTAGATGAGATTACGAGACTGATTGAACAACAATCAACAGAGACGATAGTTCCACCGTTAGAATGTGATGTCCCTTTGAGTTACAGGACTGTAAGTAGTACCAACGTATCGTCTGTTGTGGGTACTACCGCATCAGTCATAGAAGGGTATATCCAGAAGAGTTCCTCTGTTCAGCAACAAGCAGGGTAGGTACCATCGATTTGAACTATCAGAAATAGTAAATAAGGTGACGGATAGCAAGCTATATGATAATGTACATTATATGTCCATATTAGTAAAGCATCACCTTGCCATCAAAAAGTATTGAACCAAGTGCCTGGCTACTATATATTTTTATATTTGTTTGATGAGCGATATATTCCAATCTGAATAACATTATGAAAAAAAACCCCCAAATCATTCATAAATTACAATTTTTATGTCACGGAATAAGTTTGATACTTATGTCATCGCAAGTGTCTTACGGCGAAACATCAATGTCTGCCAGTAAGGATGATAGTGTTCCATGTAAGTGAAATTTTCACCTTTCATTTAGTATATTGTGTTGAAATCCTGTGAATCACATCCGATTTGATTTCATAACGAATGTTTGGAATACAAATTGAGTAGAAAAAATTGTTTTTGTATAATTCAGTGTTTATATGAAAGATTTTTTTTTCAGTTTGTGTCTGAAAGTTACTTCTTTGCATGATATACACATCATTGTACAGAGTTACTTCTTTTAAAATTGATTGCTTCCTTCCTTTCTTTGGAAGATTCCCACATTTTTGTATCAAGATGGAGTAGTAGAAATCCAAAAACTTTCAATATAAACAAGATTTGAATGTTATATATTACTAGCTATTACCCGCGGCTTCGCCTGCGTAGGATTTGATTTGCCACATTGAGTTTCGTGACAGACCATTTCACACAAATAGTTACAATATTTTTTTATTAACAATTATTAAAAATATATTTTTTTTAATAAAAAGTATCCTATGTTACTTCTAATACCTCCAAGAACATGTGTACAAAATTTCATGATGATCAGTTTGAATAGTTTTCACGTGAAACCGTAACAAACAAACTTAGATTCGCATTTATAATATTAGTAGGGATTTCATGAAAACCAGGGAATTTTTTTATATATCACCATATTAAAATGCTATAATATATATTATAGAATAGCTCTGTCCGTTGCTAGCTTAATATAATATATTAAATATATATTTACTGGTATGATATATTATACAGAGCTATTAAAATCCAAGTTTATGCTTGGAAAACTCGTGAATGGTAAGAGATAGAAAATAGTTAAAGTAGTGATAAAGTTGTCTATTTTCGGATACCAGTTTAGGTTAGGTTAGGTCCAAAGTGAGTGGGTCTATTCGACCCTCCACCGCAACCCGCAAGGGTTTATTGTGACTCACACCTATTCACACTCGACCAAATAAACCCAGCTTCTTAACACAGCTACACCTGACGATGCCTTAGATTCAACCGTGCAGGGCTTTTTCGCCTCTGGTTTTGGTGAATCATCACTTGAGAGCGAACGTTTGCTAACATGCTCATGTCAATGCACTCGCCAAAAACAGCATGCACAGTGGTTCAGACAGTGAAAGATGAAGAAGGACAGCCAACCCGCCTACTTCGTTTGCAAAAATATTGAAAATATGTTTGAAATTCGTCACAGGAACTTTCAATTAGCTATCACCATACGTTCATAAAATTTTTATTCGAAGTGCCATCAGACTTCTCTCATCCCAAACTTTGAATTTTTGAAGACGAATCTGTATTTTATGTAGCAATGTTTTGACAGTGTTCATATAAATCAAAGCGAGTTCGATATTCCTCAGAATTTAGGTAATTTGGTGATCATACGATAAAATTATCCCACACTTTCTAATTCTTCAAAATTGGATAAATGAAGCAAGAAGTATCTGAAATGTCTCTATATCACAAACCTCTGATATTGCCATGGATTTGGGAGTTTTCCCATATACCTTTGAAAGCAAACGAAACTGGAGTCGATTTTTTTTGTATTGTTCACTAGTACTTAAAAATAGTCAATTTTTCCATACGTCAACTCACTTTCTGTCTCACCATTTACGAAATCTCCATGTATAGACTTGACTTTGAATAACCCTGTGTATTGTAGTATAGTCTGCCAGAGGCTTAAATGTTGAGTTTGTTTAGGGTTGATGAAAGAGGTGATGCGAAAAGCTGTGTGGGAGATTCGTTGACATATAGAGTGGAAGATACGACCAGTTTCAACCTACCAAATTTTTTCTTTGAGTGGCAACCTCTCATAGAAACTGATAGGCATGTTTTACACTCTGTGGAAAAATCGTTAACCAACCCTCCTCAACCATCCTCTTTGTTGCATTCATGTGAATTTTTCACCAATGTCTTACTGCATGATTTTCCTGCTGAAATATTTTTGCAAAGGCCCACAATTATATTGGTAAGTGCCAATTCAGAATCTAGTAAATTATTATTTTACCGTTTTTTAAACATTTTTAATTAGACTTGCTCATTTCCATTCGCTGATCACGAATTCTTGAATAAACTCAAAAGTAGAAACTGTTGAAATTTACTTCGGGTAATGAAAACTAGAAAAATAGCCCCTTCATTTCATGATACAATGCTGTGGATTTCTATTTACCCATTTCAAATGTTTTCACGAAATAAATTACTTCTATTTTACCAAAAAAACACATTTTTGGAATCATTTTCTGAATGATATCATTACTCTAGAGTCTAGAGTTTTTTTGAAATTATTTGTTGGCAATATCACACAGTCTAGGAATAAAATTTATGTTGCCAAATTTTGAAAATTTCAATCAGCTCTGCCCTTACGCGTTTCTTTATTCCAGTAAATAAATACAACTTGTCAATTCAGCCTTCACATAAAGAAATTTACATTCTATATGTTTTCGCATTCGAAAATGAATTTTGTAACATCAATAGAACTAACAAAAAGTCCCTTGTAAAAATGTCATACAGTTTAATGGAAACACTCGGACGTTTGCAACTGATTTCCATAGATGCAATTATGGAAAACACTCACCATAACCCAGAATTGTATTGAATGCTAATGAAATTCAAGTAGATCTGATCCGAAAGTAGTTTTAAACGATGTTTGCCATCACTTCTTGAAAACAACAGTACATAGATGTGATAAATTCAATAAATACATTCAAAATGAATTCAAAATAAATTAAAAAAAATAACTGTATGTAGTTTGCTACTAAAAATTTGTATGGCAACATATTATATGTAGATCTAATTGAAAATATCTTGAAACTATCTTGAGCTATAAAGACAAATGTTTACCGAATATCCGGTTAATAAATGATTTTCCCATTTTTAGGAGTTTCATGCCTTGATGCAATGTGGATCAACTCGAATTACAAATGCTGTTTTGGAATGTTTCTGCAACTTGACTAGCATGTTGCAAAGGAGAATTCATCATCAAAATGACCTGACCATGAGAAATCGAAAGTTGGGAGTAGGTGCAAAATTTTAAATGGATCTTTTAAATGGAAATTTAGTTTGATGACCTGGTAATCTCTGTGAGATATCTTGCATAAATGTCTGTCAGATATAAATAGATAGATAGATATATACATTTATTTCGACAGAGTATTTTTATAATCATTCACAGGAGTGGCAGAATATTTTTGTCTGAGAAATACGTCAAAAGGAAAATTGTAAAAATATCAAACAAGTGTAAATACATATAAATCTAAAAATGAAACTTTAAAAATGAATTGCTTCAAGTTTCGAACACAATTAGAAACATTTTAAAATGTGCATCTTATTGCGCATGATTACTGAAAGTAGAGATAATTTCTATAAATATGTAGCGCAATTTTGAATAAAATTTGGTTCATAAATTTCCACAGGCCAGAAAATATTCATCAGTATTGTAGGACTCTAGATTACATAACAATTTTCTTACAGATTTCAGAAATTTGTTAGCAACGACAATATCTTTTATGTTTTTAGAAGATTATTATAAAATTTCATTCCAGTATAGATAGTGCTACGTTCATATAGGGATTTTGCGTGGATGGGATATGAGAAGTCCGTCTTGTCTCATAAATATGTGTTTTGCGATGTATGTCAAAATGACCTGTATGGTTGATGATGAATTTAATTGATTCATAGATATAATTCAATGTCAATTGTCAGTGTCAACTCGAAGATTCTCACGGACAAAGTATGATGAGCTGTTTTTTCGGAGTTTGCTCCGTGTTCTGTGTTTTTGATCCTCAAGGATTATTTTCACAATGGTTCGGCAAAATCTTATTTACTATCTTCTGGTGATGTCTGATTTAGAATTAAACTAGTTCCTTATCATATTACCATGACGTGTACATTAATTATGAGAAGAAGCATTTGTTACTTTGTATGATCTACACATCTTTGTAATACATTTATTTTGTAATTATTTGCTTTCTTCCATTCTTTGGAAGATTCCAACATTTTTTTTTTGTATGAAGATGGAGAAGTAGAAAGCCAAAACCTTTCTTTTCCAAAAACTAATTCTAATTGTTATTCAACTTCATCAGTTAGAACTGTTTATTTTTGTTATAATTTTCTAATTTCAGGTATTCATATTTGAATTATAAATAAACATTATTATTATCACTGTTCGTTTTTATTTGAAGAAATTTGCGTGAAATATGGCACCTTATATTTTTTATGCATAATTTCAGCAACTGGCTCGTTTCAGTTCAATTCCTAACACCCCTGTCTCCGGCACTAATAGAACATTGAAAGATGATATAATGTCAGAAATACGTGCTGAATTTGAGATGCCGGAAGAAATCTCAGCACTTGAAAGAAATCAGTTATCCACTACAAAATATTGTTTTATAACTGTGAATGCAATTTTCAAATATTTATGCATCAAGGAAGATATTTTAAGGGAAAAAGTTAAAAGTAACCAGGTGAGGCTGACCATAATGAAATTAGAGCATATTCTGATTTGTTTTGTCAAAAGTATCTTGAAAGAATAGAATTTTTTCTGAGAAAAGTATATTTTAGGTGGCCGTTAATTTGAGTTTGTCGTTATTGAACAAACTTACTGATTTACTGAGCCTTTGTATAAGAAAAGCCATCTGGGATGAGACACAAAATGAAAGGACCCTCAGTGTTTTGAAAAACCTCAATGAAATGTTGGTGAAGTATGGTATGGCCTTGGAACATTTCAGGTGAATCTCAGATTATCATTATTATAATTCTTTGGAGGATGATTGATATTTCTTTTAGATTAGAATCTGTAACCTTCGAGAGTAATCTGAATTACAGAGTGATTTACATCTACTTGTTACATAGCTGTGTCAATTTGCTGAAAAAAATTGTTCCGATTTCTAAAACGGACTTGATATTACCCAGAAATCTGAAAAGTGCCTTAGCAAATTCACTATTAGACGTCACTTTTAGTCGGCTTTATCCTCATGCACATAATTTTATTTTGGATTATGTTCAGGTAAGAGATTTTTTCTTAGTGAATTTCTCCTCTTAAACATATTTTCGCCTAGCATATCAACTCGCCAAGTATATTACCATATCACTCCATCTCTATTCTTTTCCAGAGTTTCTCAATAGATAAAGATACAGACCTCTTAAAAAAGTATATAGATGTTCAAAACGTTTGTCAAGGAATGACTTCAACTGTGAAATTTCTCAAGCAACACAAAACCCTACCTTGTTCAGAAATCCTCAGTTTAGCTGTGGAGTCCCTGCCCAGCTTGGAATTCCACAAAGAATTTGATTTCTTGAAAATTTTAGTTGATACTTTATCAGACAGTTTGCACCAGTTTTCTGAAGATTCCGTGAAATTGGCATCGGCAGAAGGTAATGATGGGTATTTTCCTTTATACATGTTATTTTTTTGGTGTTTTTAGACATTATTTTATCATTGCTGGCACACAGTGCAGTAGACATAAGAGAAGAAACATACCGACTCTGCCAAAAAAAAGTACTCACCAACATTGGACCAAAACTGAGCACTTCTCCAATTGGTGTGGCAGGTTCCCAAATATTATTTTTACTCTCGTCTAAAATTTTAACTGAAGTTGCAGCTTTTGGTATGACAAGTGATAATATAGAGGTAATAATAGTATGATGCAAGTTAATATAAGACATACTCTCTTGCATGATTATAAAAGATGTATTTATTTCAACCTCATTATTGATTCAGATACAGATAATTTATTCATCATTGAAGTTTTTTACACAATGGTACAAAACTTATCAGACTAGTCAAAACATATTATAGTATTACAACTTATAAAATAAAAACATCATTTCTAAATGTGACAGTAGTTGTTTCGGAAGAACTTTTCTTCCAATTTTTGGAATATACTGACCCATTACTTGGTGAAAATCAGTAACACTATTCTTGATAGTTACAAATTTTCACAGTTTAGACTTTATTTCACTACATAGTAGCATCCTTAGTTGAACTGGCGAGTCTATAGACCCACCCGAAAAAGCTATTGCATAGCGAAACACGTGTTCCAATTTTGTTGAATTGTTCAGTGGAAATCTCACAGTAAAGTGTTTCTTGAATATGATATGAATTTTCATTTAGTATCAGCCAACTAAATTATATACATATATTATAACTTGAATTTCGCCAAGCAATACATCGTCGACAAAGCTAGTAAATAAATATAAAATAAAATACATAAATGTCCTATGAATATAAAAATATAAATAAAATATAATGTACACTAAAGTAAAGTATAATAAATGGATAAAAAACCACAAACAGTGGTTGAAACGAACATACAAATAAAACATTCTAGGTTAAAAATGCTCGGTATAGAACTCAGTCAAACTATAATAGGGTCTACTTCTCAAAATTTCTTTAATTATTTTTCTTTATCGATTGATATAAATATTTGTTTCTTTCGAGTAACTTGGCAGATGTTATACATTTTCACACCATTGTAAAATAAGGAGTCCTTGACCAGAGAGCTGCAAGAGAGGTAATTTTAAATTGTTTTGTATGCTCTGACGAGTTGTATAGTGATATGTGGTAACCTCAGGTTTCATCAGATGTTTTTTAATCAAACACACTGTCTCCCGAATAAAAAGAGCTACAACAGTCAAATTTTTTTATTTACAAACTGTTGCCTGCATGAGTAACGAGGTTTAGGGTTAGGGTAAGGACCAACGTGAGTGGGTCTATTCGACCTCCACCGCAACCCGCAAGGGTTTATTGTGGCTCACATCAATTCACACTCAACCAAACGAACTCAGCTTCTTAACAAAGCCAACTAGTTTGTATGGTGAGTGGTCTTTCAGGTCAGATGGTAAGGGTACTGCTCTGTTGAATTCTAAAAAACCTGATTCGGTCCCCAGCGGGGCAGGCACAAAGTATGTATTCTGCTGTTTCATCATTTTCCAAAAAGAGGCGACACACACTGTCTTCCGACAGTCCGAGTCTCAGCATATGATGATTCAAATGACAGTGACCAGTAAGAAGGCCTGTTAGCCATTTTAGTTCATCCCTACTGTAGTCGAATAACTATTTGGTATCAAGCTTCGAAGGGTGAATAAACGCCTTGGAGTGAGCCAATCCTGGAAGATTCTGCCAGAAGTCCATAAATCTTCTTGCCATCCAGGTGTTCAATCTTTGTTTGGCAAAGCCCAAAGAGATGCCAATGACAGGTTCTGGTCTGATGAAGCTGCTTGCAGCACCCTTCTTTGCAAGGGAGTCAGCAGCCTCATTACCTTCCAGGCCAGTATGGCCAGGAATCCAGACCAGAGACAATCTGTTAAGTCTTCCTATCGAGGAGAGTTGTTTTTGGCACCTTGCTACCACCAGGAGGTTGGATTCTTCCAATCTCTCCGCACACAATTCAATAGCGTAAATTTCCGCTTGAAATACAGTCGCATACGTTCCTAGTCAGGTTGATATCTCTGTCCTCGGTCTGCGACTGAAAACACCTGCACTAAAACCGGAAGGTGTTTTTGATCCATCTGTGAACCAACAGATGAACCAACAGATTTACTAGCATTTCCAGAATGCTATGACTTCCAGTGTCAACCAAAAGTCTGTTGCACTCTGCATTAAATTGATTTTTACAATTGTCAATATGCACAAGTCTATATGCAGCATCTCTCTCCAGAGAGAAGGTAGATCTAGAAGGATCTCCATGGCCGCTGAAGGTGTAGTACTGATGGCACCACTGATAGCCAGACAAGCCTGTCTCTGTAAGCCAGAGAGCTTCTCCTGGGCCGTTTTCTGTAAAATTTTCACAAATCCAATGGATTTGTTTGGGACCTGAACCCCAAGTTTTACCACGAATCCTTCGACATGTCAATAGAGACAGTCTGGCTTTGTGTAAAACCTTTTCCAAGTGAGCGTTCCAGGTGAGTCTTTTATCAAGGACAATACCAAGATATTTCACCTCCGTTCCAAATGGAATGACCTCACCATTGAAGAAAAGTGGCGTTAGATCGTCCTATTTTCTCCTCTTGGTGAAGGTGATCAACACAGTTTTGCTGGGGTTAACAGACATCTGCTGCCTCGGGCACCAACTGTAAATGAAATGAAATGAAAGGACATTTCTTTTGTCGAGGGCATCAAGCAGACTATTCATCAGGAGCGACCACAGAAGGGGAGATAGTACCCCACCGAGGGCAGCCCCTGGTGACCCTGAACCTAATGGCCTCGCCTTGAAGAGTCGTAGTTGCAGTTCTATTTACTAGCATGGCATAGATCTCCTTGTTGTGAAGGGATTGGGAGATTTTCTCAACGAAGTTGTTTAATGCTAAATCTGTCGATTTGCAGGTTTGATAAGCATAATGGTGGGTAATCAGGGGGGATGCATATAATGTTACCCTCCTGAACTGTCCGTCCAGTATACTCTCAAGTCCTTTGAACAAGAAGGAAGTAAGGCTAACTGGTCGGACCGATTCAGGGTGTGGGTTTTTCCGACCCAGTACCACCCTTGCTGCCAACCAACTGGGTGGTATATAGATCCACGCCAGACTAGCTCTATACAATTTTATGAGAATAGGTAAAATCATTTCCAGTCCGTTTTGAAGGATAGCTGGAAATACACCATCCTCTCCAGGAGATTTGAAGGTTTAGCTTTACACAAGTACCGTATAGCTCTCTTCTGTAATACAAATACAGACTCCAGCAAATTAAAGCTTCACACACCCCAAAAAGGTATACCGTACATTAAGTAAGACTCTAACAAAGCATGTTATGCAGTATAAACTCCAAGTTCTCTAGCAATAACTCTCACTGCATTACATCTTTCTGATGTGAGTGTCAAATTTCAGTCCACCGTCCATGGACAATATATTTCACAGACTTCCAGACAAAGCAACTTTTGCTTAATTTATTAAAATAACCGTTGATATGATTTTCAAAATTGATTTTATAGTATTGGTTAACACTTGGAAATTTAACTGATGTAACATGTTCACCGCTTTTGAAATCATTTTTGAGAATGAATCAGGATGAATTTTGATTTTTCTTTGGTGTATCAATTTACGTAATTAGTTGACAAACATTTATTTCTGATATTATAGATGTGACGTCTTATATAAATTTGTGTGCTTTATTTTATAAAACGTCTATGTTATTATTAGTAAGCACTGCAGTCCATTAAATACTTTGAACGGCGATGTTTCAAGTACCCACTTGCATTTAAATCTGTCATTTGAGATTACAGTGAGTTTTGTAAAACTTTTTCGTGAAGGTTTAATTATGATAATTTATGTTCGTTTTTCACGTTTTCAATTACTTATACCTTATTTTCATTTTACATACCTGTTTTGTATGTAAAATGAAAATATTGTCTTTACTTTCAACTTGAAAATTTTGACTCGTACTTCTGTTATTGTTGAACAATAATGAAAGTACCACGGAATGACTGTATACCATTCAACTCAAACAACGTGTCTCACTTCATTTTACCAAATCTTAACCAATGGACAAAACTTTTCTAGATAAAAAGGTACGCTGAGGACATAATCATCTACATCTTGAAGTGTAAAATTCTGGTCTGTGAAGCCATCTGGAACAAAGTGATACAGACTTTGATACCTTCCCTTCCGATAATTGCATGTCATGCCAGCAAAAATTCTGCATTGGGAAAGACAGTAATGAATCTTATGGATCCAGATACCTCTAGAGATTCTTTAATTCCGCCCATCGTTATGCTAAAATGTAATATACAATTATTGTTCACTGATGATGCGTATTTGCGTGAAGAAGCTTTCTCTAGAGTGTGTTGGCTGTTGTCTTCCCAGGAAAATTCCAGAGAAATGCTGCCCAAGGTCAACACTCTGTATGATACTTCATTGGCTGGTGTTTGCCGATTGAAAAAAGTTGTCGATATCAATAAGATGAGGAGGACTGAACATTTTTATCAGGTGAGGTTTAATGATAAACTTGTAATATAGTAAGAATGACATTAGAATAAATATGGTGCTTACAACCCTTTTAATTCTTTCAGGGGCAGAATTTGCTTCTCATAAATTGACCTACAGGGGCAAGGAGATAAAAAATTCCGAACAAGCAAATTTTTCATCAAACGTATATTTGAAAATATGCATAGAGATTGAATATTAACTCCATTTCACAAGAAAAATTATATTTGAGGAAAACATTTGGTGGTTCATTTTATGTACCATCGCCCCGAACTAAGCACTGTGATAATTTTCGAAGCATGTTTTGTTTTTTCCCAAACACAGTGGAACTTGGCATCTTGAGCACATCCAGTTAGTTCGTACTTGAGTCAATTTCGTGCTACAAAAGCCACACCGTCTTCTTGTATCATAAATTGGTTGATGTTGTGAATCTGCTAGTCTCACAACTTTGGGAACAAATTTTTTATGTCGCTTCACAGTTACTGGGATACGTGACGTTGTTGCTCTTGGTGGCTCCATGATCAGATTACGTGCTATTTCGAGCCTGAAATCTTTCATGGTTAAAGCTTCTAAATCGGGATTCTCTAACATTAGTTGCTTATAAATCACATAAGCGTTAACTATTGATGCATCTACGAAATAAAAAAAAAATCTATGCCACCATTTGTGGCTTTTCCGATTTACTTCATAAATGGCTTTATTTTGATCAAACTTGCCGACGGAATTCATATGCTTGTTGTAATCAACGAGGAGCAACGGACAAGCGACTTCTTCGGAAGTGCCGTCTTTATTTTTTCTTTTTACAGATGTAAACTGATCTGGTTTATGATAATTCAAAAGCAAATGCACACATCTCTTGTCCTTCCACTTGATTGCTAGAAGTTTCGTGTTGCTAAGTAATAATCAAATTCGCCCCTCTTCATTCTGGTATCAGGCAAAAAAGAAGGCAAATACTTTCGTGATGAATTAATTGTTCCACATGCATATACCCCTTTGGCCTGAAGACACTCTAATAATGGAAAACTATTGAAATAATTATCAAAATATAGCCGATGTCCTTTGTTTTCAAGGCCTTGTACAAGAGAAAGAATAACCCTACTACCTAAATCTTTTTCAACTGAGCCTCCTGATTTGCCTGTATAAATATCAAACTCATGGCAATAACCACTCTGATCAGCCAACATCCACACTTTGTAACCCCTATTGATAGGCTTTTTGGGCATATATTGAGTGTTGATCTGCCCTTGAATCTGATCATGGACTCATCAATTGAAATGTGCTCTGACAAAAAAAGTCCTTGAATTTTTGCGATAAATGACTCAGAGGGGTCTAACTTTATATAATTTATCAAAATTTTGATCTCCGCGTTTTGGCTGTAGGCTATTGTCAGCGATGTGCAGATTTGCTAAAAGCCAACTAAATCGTTTCACGGGCATAAGACTGCTTATATAACGGTCATTGAGTTATTTTCAGCTTGACCAGCAGTCTCTGTAGCTGGGTAATTTTTTGATACCCATTAGCAAATTTATTCCGATGAAAGTTTCCAGTTCATTCTTGTTCGTGGGACGATATGGCTTTCCAGATTGCTGACAGTATAAATTAGTTTGAAACACCAAGGATTCTAAAAAAATATCAGTGAAGAAATGTTGAAATAAAGTGCATAGATCGTGTTTATTTCTGTACTTTATGAGGTCAGAAACACCAGAAGTAGCAGAGAATTCAACAGCATTGTCAAAAAATCGTTTTTTTCCATGTGGGCGGATTGTAGATCGTCTTCATTCGCACATTCAACAGGAGCTGTTTTCTCACCTCACTAAGAGGCAGGTTATCTTCTGGATCGGATTCTTCCTGTTCATCAAGCCCAATAGGTGGCTCAATGTCATCAAGAAGTTCGTCGTCTTCAGGCGTTTCAATATCGTGAAATGAGTCATTATCAGACGGGATATCTTCTAAAAACTGTTGTGTGGAGGGTTCATCATAATCCAGATATAAATCATTCATCAGCTCATCTCTACTCATGCCTATTAAGTTGAAAGGGAGATCATCCATTTTATTCTGAAAAAAATTAATACAGAATGAAAAACGCATTTCCGGGGTGGTGGTACATATTTTGGATACATCAAATTGTGCCTATCAAACTACCGATTGAGTAAAAATAGATTTCAACAATATTAAACATTAAAAAAACATGCCCAAAGTAAAGATATCTTACCTCAGAATGACAATTGTTTCTTATTTCTGCTTGAGAAAACTCAACAAAATCACAATACACCGTGTTTTCAAATAACAGATCCTTTTGAACACGAACTACCGGATTCTTCACATTTGTATCACTTTCTACAACGTCCGGCGCCATCTATGTATGAGTAGACACATGAAAGTACGGTGAAACAACAGTGGTACAAAAATCCAACCGCAGCCCTTCAAGAAACAAATATTTGAAAAGGTCGTCTATTTATTGTACCACTGCCCAAAAACAGTCACTTTTTTGTGGCTAAATTTTATACCACTGCCCCTGAAAGAGTCAATGAAATTTTTTCTTTTCAGACAGTTTGATCAGATTTTTAGGTCAAGATATTTTAAAAATATCTCGCAAAAAAAATCAATGCTACTCGTGTAGGATGTTTAGAACATTTTTCGATAATTTCAGTAAAATTGAATACTGTGTCTGAAATGCTTTACATCAAGGATGAATACTCCCGTCATTGATCAAATACAGTTCTTGATATGACGTCTGTTACAATTACATTGTGATTGTTTGGTATTAAAACTGAAAAAGAAAAAGTAATGTATAACCATTATCGAAAGTAGTTGTTTCAAATAGATATTTTCGCCGGTTTGTATCTGAAAGAAACTTCTAGCGCAAAATCTACACATCTTCATGTATTGATGGAGAAGTAGAAAGCTTTGAAAGTTTTTTCCAAGAAATAATTTCTCCTGGAAATATCCTTTTTTTCAGAACATAAGTCAGTTGATTGTCTCGTGGTAAATCACTTCTGAATTCGTTTCTTTTTCATTTTTCTGATAACTCGTCATTTTTTCAGAACGATTTTTCATTTACCCATATTCTCAATATTTGGGATTCGAAGGCTGGTTATTATTTTTACTTTTTTCGGAGTGAACTTCAGTTTTTGATTGAGTTTTTTCTAGCCTAGCAGTTTACACCAAGTTCTGGAAGTCCTGAAATCTCCAAATATCGAACCAGTGATCAGGAGATCTGCCTTGAATCAGATCAGCGTTATGATGGAGGATCCTCTGTTGCATCAAATACTTTTGGACGCAAATGGAATTGGCATTCTGAATGAAATGATGAAAAGCGCACTAACTGAAAGTGATTATAGAAATTATCCCGACTCTATTATTCCGATTGTATCAATTTTCAAAAATATTTGTTTTTATCATGGAAATGTGAGAGAAGAACTAAGTCTGGATACTGATGTGTTTTATTGTATTTTAAGAGGTAATTATGATACTGATAATTATACGAACCGGTATGTCTCTTAACAAAAATGACACATCTTTATAATGAATTTCACTTACTGGGAAATACCATTTATTAGCATTGAAATTCTGAAAAATTGCATCGCTAATTGGGTATAAGAAACATCCCTAAAACTTATTGTTTGGTTCTTGGCTTCACTAAGTTTGTATTCAGTGTAGTTGTGACAAGCTCGATGGTGGAAGAAACCTGACAATTAACGATAGCTTGATTTTCTCATTTTTCTCCCACTTACTCTTTAAGGTATTGGGTGTATTCTGGGAAATGCATTGACCTACATTATGGATTAGTAATGTTGAATATACATATTCAATATTGTTATGAATAATTTTAAATTACATAAAAATTGCGGCAAGCCTATGAAGAGTTTTGCACAGAACTGTCAACTATAAGTTATGAAAAATTCTCATTCACCTTCGAAAATGTCTTACCAGTTTTTGTTGATCATTTGGTTATGTTGTTCTATGATACTGGTTCACAATCATCCTTTCGTAAAGAATCATAAACCTCATTTTGAGGGTTTATTGTTTCTAATATTTGAAGACAGCATAGAAGTCTGGTGTCGCCATAGAGAACGGCCACAGATTAAGAGAGGAATGCTTGAAATTGTTGAGACCAGTACATGACATCAAGTGTTTAGATGTCTTCGAGATCTATGAACGCCGACAAAGGTCCTGTTCCTAACAGTCGTTTGTTGACAATCTTACGTAATTAGAGGTAGAAAACAGGAAAAGATTACCTATCGATCAGGAACAATAACAAAATACTATAAATCAATTTAATGAATAATAATGATTCAATGTAATGATTCATCTAGTTACATGTGTTCTCAACAATAACATTTTGAAAAGTATTTTTCAGGTTATGGGACATGTCCTACTGAATTTCATAAATACATCCTTAGTAACTGGTGAAATACTGCTTCAACTAAAAATGAGTACCATAGTCCCAATACCAAAAAGCAATATGTTTCATAACCCTAGTAACTATTGTCCTATAAATACTTGGAAAAAATGTTGAAGTGGCTGTATATGAACAGTTTAGCAAGTATATTAATGATAACAATTTACTAATGGACTACCAATCAGGTTTCAGAACAAATCATTCTTGTGAGACTGCTTTACAACTGACAATAACAAAGTGGAAGTTTTTGATAGACGAAAATAAATTTATAGTTGCAGTGTTCTCAGATTATAATCGAGCTTTCAAAACAATTGATATCGATCTCCTGTTGATTAAATTGCAGTATTATGGAATTCATGGGACAGTTCTAAAATGGTTTGATAATAACCTGAAAGGTCGTTCTCAAATTACCAAGGTGAATGATGTAATCTCCAGTGAAAAAATATAACCACCGGCATTCCCCGGGGCAGTGTTGATTTTGTTCAAGACTATGAGTCCATTAATTTGTTTGCTGATGATACTCTTGTAGTTGTCAACAGTTTTAACCTGGATGAGGCCATAGAAAAAATGAACAAATCTTTGGAAGTTATCACCAATTTTTTTAATATTAATAAGCTCAAGTTGAATACTCTCAAAAGCAAGGCCATGATAATAACTTCAAAATACAAATATAGCCAAATCAATGTAAATAACACAAATATATCAATATATAATGAAAACATTGAAAAAGTGCAAGAAACGAAATATCTTGCCTTCAAAATAGATAACTTAATCACTTTCAAAAGTCATTTCAATTACGTTCACAGCAAAATAAATAAAAAAATATTCTTTCTTTCACGAATATGCCAATAATTATCGTTCTCTACATCAATAACGGTCTATACAACTATAATCCAACCTCACTTTGAATATTGTCCAAGTTTACTGTCCTTACTAGATTCTAACAGTATCGCTGCATTACAAAAATTGCAAATGAGAGCTATGCGAATCATTTTTAAATGCAAGAAGTCCACTCTTATCGATTCAATGTTAATTGTACTGAACTGGAATCCATTGAAAACCCGATTATAACATCTTTCAATGATTTTTATTTATAAATTGTTGAAAGGACAGTTGCCTTCATATTTCAATGAATTTATCACATTCAATAATCAAATTCACAATTATCAGACCAGAGGAAGTTCAAACTTTCATGTAAATAGAATCAATCACAAAAAAACATAATTCATCATTTCATAAAGGATTGATTCAATATAATAATAATAATAAATCGGCTTTATTGATAATACAAAAAAAAACAATACAAAGATATATTTGAAAATGAAAAAAGGTTACAGGATATTCTGGTACTCCTTGGCGAAGTCTAGCTCAAAGCTACTCTAACTCAACCAACAAGCACCAATCCATAATGCACGCAAACATACAAAAATAAAAGCAATTAACAGTGATGGTACCACGAAATGAGAACCGTAAATAAAATAATAATTTGTGATTACCTTCTAAAGATAGTTGATAAATAATTTAATTGAATTGATCTGTTGTCTAAAAAGTAAAAGTTGACATTACTGACTATCATAGATATAATTTTTATATTTGTATTTGAATTTCTTGATATTGAATCTCTTCAATCTACCCTTTCATATCAAGGATAGTGCAACACTGAGTTCATTCAAATGCAATCTTCTGGGGTACATCAATGAAAAAATAACCTTCATCTTGTATAGAGTCAGAGTCAGAAATGCTTTATTGTCATAAAACATTAACAAGAAGGCCAAGAATTTAAAACAAGATATTAATATGGCTCAAGCACACTTCAAAAAGTCTGTGGTAAAAGTCTGATAAAAAGTTTTATATGTTGACAAAGCTGACTTAAGAACTAAAACAATCAGAAACATTAAAATAACGGTCAAGAATTAAAACAAGATAGTAAGGCTCAAGCATACTTCAAAAAGTCTATGGTAAAAGTCTATGATAAAAAATTTTATAAGTTGCGAAGTCATCCGAAAGAAATTCCTCAATACTATAAGAAGCAGATGATGTTCATTCATTTAATCAAATAATTATGTAATAGTTATTATTAAATTTTTGGTATCTTAGGATTTCTATTTCAAATGAAGATTATTATTATATAAATACATTAACATAGTTTTGGAATTCAGTCTTAGTCATCTCCGGATGATGCCAATGTGGTTACCATTTTTTTTTGTGAGTTTTCATTTCATCCAAAAGGTTTCAAATTTTACCCATCACATTATAAATATTTTAACTTTCAACGAAATCGATAATTTCTGCAGTGCCATTCAATTTTCAGGTCTATTTTTATATTTTGCCGAAGAAAGAATGAAACAAGATGCAACATCATTGCTAGTCATGTTGATATTTAAAGATTTCATATTGGGAAATCCATCCAGAGCAAATTTTTCCATGCCAAACCTCGTGATAGATAGAATGCATTTGCCATTCATATGTAGTTCCCATTGGATTGCTAGTGAATACTCCAAGGAAAATTTAAAAGGTAGGTTTTTAAGATAGTTGAAGGACCTCCTACTAGTTCACGATCCAGAGACATCAAACAACTTTTTCATATAAAGAGGTTTTTTGTGGGAAAATATATTTTCCTAAAAATATCTGATGATTCTTTAAAAATATTTCATTTCATTATATAATATAATTCAGCCATGTGAGATTCTACTATTATTTATTTATTTATTTAACAGTAAAGCTAATTTACAGAAACCTATTTAACAAAGTGTGAGGAACTGCAAAGTATTTTTGAATGCTCATGTCTGATGTCTACATTACAATTTACAATTTTAAAAAACATTTAGCAAAGTGTGAAATACAATATATTAATGAATCCTTCCAAAAACTCATCCAATTTTGAAGTTCATAATTTTCTTACTTAAAATTATGTACCTTATCCTAAATATCCTAAGGATATTTCTGTTGAAGAAATCAAAAGTTTATATCATACAAAAATCAGAATTTATTCAAATACTTGCCATAAGAATAGTGTTGGTAGACAGAATTTGTTCAAACAGTATCGTGACACCTGAAGATGCTATTTTATAGCACACATGTCGTGGTTTCGTAAATTTTCAAGTGGAAATCTCACGTTGAAGTGTGTTTTTTTAATACGTTAGTGTGGGGTCCTTTTAATATACATTGTTCAGGATTATATGGAAGTTCTTACTAGTGAAAACAAATTCTAGACACAATAATATCCGATCGTTGGTGTTTGAGTTCGATTCAAATTCAGTGGAATGCCGAATTCTTTGGAGGATTTGAGAACCTGGTGAAGCGAAATGATATCACTTGCGATGATCATTCGATGTGTGATTTTGCGGACATTTTGAAACTGAACGACAACGATTTGAAAGCTATCAAAGCTTCTTCCATTGATTACTGCGTTAAATATTATTCAGACGCAATACAAAATGCAACGTCACATTCTTCTGTTGTTCAGTCGATTGACCAGCTCATTCTGTAAGTAACAATATTCAAAAGTAGTCAATGTAAGTGATTGTTGAATTTTTAGGTATGTATAAGAAAATAAAGAATTCGAAATAAAATCTAGAAATATTCTTCTCTCCCAACTACCTACACAGTAGGTTCTGGTAAATGCCTGCTGGAAAACAACTACTTCCCCGGCTGATACCACGCTGGATATTGAATTATATTCGTCAGACATTTATGCAAGATACCTCACAAAGATTAATCTCGCAGATGTTTCATGTTCATCCAGCAGCAAGACCATGTTGAAATTATTCGAGTAGATCACCAACAGACTGGTTTCGAAGTATTCATCAGTGCAGGAAAGATACGATCCACAAAGTGCCTGGGACTCCTGCACTGCACTGATGAGAGGAAATACCTTGAAACGGGTCTGTAGTTGATCTACTCGAATAACTTCAGCATGGTTGGGAGAGATGAATATTTAAAGATTTTATTTAGAAATATTCATTTTCTTATACGTATGTATCTATTCTCGATACAGTCTTCAGACAAGTTTTGATTTCAGGTATGTTTTTTTGTATAAACTCGTGACGAATATTGGAAATGAAGGAGACACTTTAAGTTTGCTCAACCATCCTTGGGAGCAGACTTTTGTTAGGTTTCTCAAAAGTTTGCCAGCATGTGAGGAGGATGCAATGTTGCTGAAAAAAGTTATTCAGTTTTTGTGTGAGCTTGCTTGTTTATATAAAACAACTGGTGAGTTTAGCTATAATAGTTTAATATGAGAAGCAAGTCAAGCGAAGTAACCTCAGAGTTCATTCATTATCATGTTCCAGGAACTTGAATAAATGTTGATTCTTTTATTGTCAATATGTTTTTCGAAATTAATTATTTTGATGTCCAGATGTTTGTTCAGTTGGTAGTAAAACGAGGTGGTATAATTTTGATTTATTTTACTTAGCTATCGCTGTCAGTCCTGTGAAGGGGGCGTTAAAATACCCCTGCCGGGTGCAATAACAGTCCTTCTAAATGACACCTCATCCACTGTAAAATAATAGTATATTATGCAACGATCATGTAATGATGGTTATTAAGACACGAGCATTAACCGGGATACGAAACGAGCCGAAGGCGAGTTTTGTATGGTAGATGCGAGTGTATTAATAACCATTACATGAGAGTTGCATACGCTATTTTTTCTAAACCCGATAA